TGTGACCTAGATTTAGGAAAGCATTGCCCATATATTTCCTGTCATCAGTCTATAGCACACTCTCATAACAATATCACTTCCATTTTCTCTTTCCTTTTAATCCTCAATTCAAAGGATATCCATCCTACTTATGTAATCTATTCCTTTCTACGTAAATGTTTAATTTCTTAAACTTCCGTGCTATTTCTCTCTTCCTCCTTTTATTTTTCTCTCTTTTCAAAATACACACACTCTAGTTGTGGATTGCTAATTGCAACTCACTTTTTTAAGTCTCAGTAATATTATGGAGATTAAACACACACACACACACTTCAACTTTACTATGTTCTTTATACATTATGCATTCAGGGCCAAATCCAAGTTCTGTTGGATCTTAAGCTTTTATAATTTTGGGAGCCTACTTCAAAACAGAATATAAAATTGCCAATGCAGAATTACTAGTACTACTCCCAGGACCTTAGAAGTGCAAGTGAGGTATCTTGAAGCATAAGCTTCATTACCATCCTGGTAGATGTGTTCCTATATGTGTTTGTGCTAAGGGAGGGAGGCTGGCCAGCCTGAAGTTCTTGGGTTGGGAATTCCAGGACTAGGAATGGTATGGCCTTCAAAGAGGGAAAAGAGTGAGAAAAAAGGAAGCCCCATGGCTAACTTCAGAAATTCATCTGACTTTTGGTTTTAATTTCCCTGTTTTAGGTCTCTTTATAAAACAATTGTCTTTTTTTAGAGTAGCATTCCAGTTTTCAATAGCGACAAGACCCATGTTCAGCTGGGATCAGATTTCCAGGGCCCCATTTTAGAAACAAGCATAGCTCAAATCATGCCGAGCTTAAGAGCATTCCATGACAAATGACAGAAGCTTTGCAAACTATGGTCAGAAGGCACATTTCATGACCTTTAGCCTGAGAAACATCAGGTGGTTTTTTTTGCTTTGTCCCCAGAAGATTGACACATAGGAAAAATCCAAAGAATCAGTGGCAAGAGTGTTGGGGACTGTGGCAGAAATCCTACAGTTTCAAAGTTGTCTCTAAAAAGAAGAATGAAAACCATAAGAAGGTCCTTTAGCCCAGTGGTTCCCAAAGGAGGTTCCTCCCTCAAAGAGGAATCCTGAGAGTTTTAACGATAGGCTGCCCCAGCCATTCACATGTATACTGGGAGATATTGGACCTTGAGTATTTACAATCACAAATGTGCAAAGTATCTTGTCAAGAAGATTGCTATGTAACCTAATTCTGCTATTCCCACTATGGATCAGTAATGTAGGCTGCAAACTTGTCCTAACAGAAGTTTACAAGACACTCATTTTCATACCCAAGGTGTCAGAATGGAGGAAAAACAATAAATGGCAGACCATTTTGTGTGTTTAAATGCTTAACAGATGTGTAATAAAGCATTTTATGAGATTCATTTTTAGTGTCGATTAAGATATATATTACCAGTTATAAATGTATAAATGAAAAAAGAAGAAAAAGCAGCCTAGAATCTTTTGAATCTGTATTTTTCATAACACACATATGCTCTTACAGTATAATTTCTCCAGATTACGGCAATTAGCAATTTACATGAAAAAACAAATATGCAATTCTTTGTATACAAAGATGAAAGCATCGCTGGCTGGCCAGAGGTGAGGTGCTATCAAGGGCCAAAGAGTAGAGAGATGCACACTGGCCCTCTGAAGGATCAAACCCATACCCTTGGCACCATGTCTGCAGTACTCTTACCAACTGAGCTAACTGGCTGTAACCTTGCCATTTAATGTCTCAGGTCTGCTAAGCACGATTGCTCACAAACACAGCCTCCTTCAAGTCTCCACTGAATAAGGTTTCTTTTCAGCCAAAAAACTCTCTAGAAGGAATAGGAATGGATTTTAATATTTTCTAAGCATTGAAAATTGCTGGGTTTTTTCTCTGGAAGTTTCTTAAGCTTGAAATCCATGATTTTTCCCTGTGAGGTGATCCACTTGGTACTCTCTGCACAGGCAAGTCACTGGCTACTCTTGGGCTATAGCTGGGTTCCATTACTTCTTATAAAGCCCTTGTTATTTCTGTTAGGAGGGCTTGCAGGCCGAAAGCGGGGAAAGGGGAACTGGATATTCAGGGGCCTAGCTAATGTCATCTGATCTCACTTACCCTGAAGCTTTTTTGAATTTGGCTCCTCTTCACACAGTCTCAAAATATGCACTGGCCCTTCAACAGTCATTGACAAGTGGGTTCTGGAGTCAGACTGCCTGAATTGGAAGCCAGGCTCCTCCAATTACTAGCTGTGAGGCTTTAGGAAAGTTGCTTCATCTCTCTGTGCCTCAACTTCCTTGCCTATAAAACAGAGATAATTTAAAAGCTGGAAGAATTTTTGACAAAATTAAATGAGATAATTATATACAAAACACTTTGTCCAGAACATATAGCAAGTACTCAATAAATTTTAGCTATTAAAAAAATAACAACAATCAAAAGTTACAAAGTGCACAGGGCCTTAAGATAACAGAATGGATTGGAGGAGAAATGGATGGAATAAATATGGGACATAAAGTGTTGGCAAAGAAATTATTTCTGGGTAAAATACAAACTGACAAGTTCCTAGACTCTGGATTGACTAGGGTTATTTTCACGCAGTTTGAGGTCAGGAAATAAAGAGAGAAAAAACACTTTGGAAGGGAGAAGGGGAAGTGATGGTTGTGGGGTGAGGGGAAAAGAAGTCCTGAAGTTGGAAAACAAGTGCGCTACTTCAGGGTTTGTCTCAGCCTCATGCTTGGGGGCCATCTATTTGCCTTCTGGTGGGCTAGCCGGGCTGACCTTCCCCAAACTGGCCACAAAAATCCCCATAATGGCAGCTTACAAGGCAAAGTTTCCACGCTCTTCCATAACTCTTTTTTCCTTGAAAATAATAATAACTTTAAAAATGTGTAGGTTGTCTGTCAAGTTCTGATCAAACACCTAGCTTCCCCTCCCCCTACCACGGGGGTTCCACCCGGCGATGCGGCTAATCCCCATGGAGTCAAGAAGCCGCTAGCCTCCCACGGAGCCTTGCAACTAGAGAGCCCAACGATCTAGCCTGGATTCTTTTGCCTGGTCTGGACTTGTCCCCTTAGACAGGCTAAAACACTCTCTGCCATCGGGGGCCACGGGGCATTTCCCCACACCCTACCGTCAGCAAACTGCATTGTTTTAAAAAAAAAAGTCTCAACACTTCTTCCCTTTAGCAAAGATTCTCTTCAGATTTCCTTTAAATGTTGTATTTCTTGACTCTCTTGATTTCTAAAAACTAGATATGTATTAAAAAGTGTAACTTTCTATTAATTAGTTCACCTGCCCAGCTGTAGCTATGAAATGTTATTTTCAGATTAATATTTAGCAAGATCTAGAAGAGCTTTTCTGATCATTCAGGAATGCTTAAACTGTATTTTAAAAAGGCAAGATTTTGTGCGGTGGAGTTGTCAAGATTTGAATTCTTGGAAAATAAAATTTGCTTGGTTTACATCATATTTGAATTAACACGAAAATTCGATCCAGAACATCCGAGTCTCTTTTTGGGGGGAGGCGGCAGTTGGTTTTCCCGCACCCGTTCACAGAGAATTTTCTTTATTTAGCGAGACCGGGTTCTTCAGACTGTGGCGATTACAGAACTCACTGAGGTTCGGAGGTTAAGGAATGTAAAGGGGTCAAACTCGGAAGTTGAAACAGACACGAAATAAACAAAATCCACCAATATATAAAGAAAATAATAACAAAAGTTAGAAGCCTGGGTCAGAAATGGTGAGCTCCAGGTCTGTGGGAAGAATTATTCCTGTAAATCTTCCTAGAGGAGGTAGAATTTTTTTACTTAAAAAAGAAAGAAACCGGAAACAACCCCCCACATCGCGTTCTGACTCCGGAGTGCGGGTGCGCGAATGCAGTCGATGAGCTCCAGGGAAAGTAAGCAGCTTTGGGACGTTTTCTAAAGTTCTTTGCAGTGCAAGAGCTTAGAATGCGGTTAGTTGTACACACCAACTCCCTTTCCCATAAACTCTTCAAGAGGTGCCTTACCTCTCAAGGTTAAATCGCCTCTGTCAGATTCTTTTAAACCGTGTATCGGACCTCCTGCGCTTTGTGGGGAAACGGAGGCGAACAGCCTGGGCACCCGGAAATGTTCTGCAACAAAGGAGCGAATGAATGAAACCCGGCCCAAGAGCTGGAGACTGGGAAGGACGCAGGAAATTTCTCTGCGCTTTGCGAACGCGGCGAACTGCAAACTTAGGACCCGAGGTAACCAGGGCTTCTGAGACTCAGTCTCTCTTAACTCCCAGCACCTGTGAACAGGTGCGGTTCCGACTGGGCAGCCCGGGCCTAGTACCAACTAGCCCGGGGCTAGAAGAGATGTAGACCCCCTCGAGGGGACTTCGCAGCGGCCCTGTCCACGCTGCGCTGCCCTAGGCTAGTGGCTTCGAAGACCAAGCTGTGGTAGCCCTGCGGCGCACTTGGTGTTTTCTCCCCGCCCCGCCCGCACAGGGGCTCGCCTAGGTCTGATCCCTAACCCGTGGTAAGTCATTTCCTTATCTGTCTTGATGGGTCTTTGCAATAAATGGAGCAATAAAATTAGAGGAGCAGAAAGAGAAAATAGACAACTAGAAAAGTCACAAGTGTTTCGTGGAGAGGTGAGGGCGCGGGCTGTTTCGACTGCAGAGCTGTGGGGCCCAGACTGGGAGCGGCGCGGAGCGGGACCGGTTTTCCGGGGCTGGCAGCTGCCTCGAAAAAGTTTCCTGTGGAACACTCGCCAGCGGGGGCGGGGGCGGCGGGCTCAGCGGTGGACGTGGGAGGGGGCGGCCGCCGGGGGCCGGCTCGCAAACCGTTATAGTCCTTCAGCACCTCTCTCGGCCAGTGGACCCCTCGCCCGCCTCCCCGCCGCGGGGCTGCCCACCTGGCGACGTGACGCTGCACCAATCCCCTTCGAGCTGCTCCCGGGCCCCCTCCTTGCACCGCCCCCCTCCCCACCCTGAAAGAGGCGCACCCTGCCGGGACAGACGCTGCGCTCTCGCCCTCGGAGCACCCTTCTCACTCCTTGGTCTCCGGGACGGACGCTCAGACTCTTCTCTCGCCTTAGCCAGACTCGTTTTCCCGCCTCTCAAACTCCGGCTTCCCTCCACTCCTCGCTCTTTTCCCTCCACATTCCCCTCCTCTTTCTCCCACGCCGCAAACCCTGGTCCCCGTTGCCTTCCCCGGCCCTTTCCCTTTCCCTTCTCCTTCGACTTCTGTCCGCTTCCACCTCAGACTCCCCGAGCGTGCCTAACTCAGTCACCCGCTCCGGTTCCGCTCGAAGTCATGGCGGGACCTGGGGGTTGGAGGGACAAGGAGGTCACGGATCTGGGCCACTTGCCGGTGAGTAGAGGACGCCCGTCACCCCCGAAGTGCTCTCTTCTGCGAGTTCTGAGCATCGATGGAGGGGACAGACGTCCGAAAGCCTGGCTAGGCCAGGACTTCGATAAGACCGCGACTGCAGGAGGGGGCCCCGGGAGTGGGCTTGCGGGAAAGGCGCCCCCTGGGTACCCGGGTTGCTCCAAACTCACGGAAAGGCAAAGGGCCGGGGGGAAAAGGGATGGTGGGAAGAGGTGGCAGTAGGTTGGTGCGGGCCGCAAACAGCGGGACCTTTTCTAAATGTGGCCCGTTTGGTCTAGCGGCGCTCGGGTACTTGTCCTAGCGGGGCCCAAGGAGAGGCCAAAGAGCGCGACGACGCGTGGCTTCCTGAAAGCACGCCTCTCTGTCACCCTGCCGCCCCGTCGTTTGCTTCTTCTTTTCCCAGAAGAGATGCCCACTCTCGGCGTGACCTTTCCTTCTAGGTGCCAGCGGGCCAGAAAATTCAAGCGTTGAAGTCTCACTTTCTAATAGCACTTTCTAAAACCTTCTTACTCTGCCAGGGCACTGGTCCTGATTTAGTATTGCCGGAGCTAAAGAACTCGACGCCGCTTGGGGAAGAAGTGAATTCTGCACACCCCAATTTAAAAAAAAAAATGTATTGCGCTCACTTGCTAACCAGATTTAGCTTTTTCTCGTGGTTTTCGTTTGCGGATTCTCCTTTTCCCAAATGCCCAGCTTTCCTCCAGAGTTGTAATTGATTGGTGAGCTATTATCGCCGTCGTTATTAGTAGACTTATTATTTTAGCAGCACCGTTTATTTCATTGGCATCTGGTTTCTGGCAGATATTGGATCCCACCCAAATCCGTTTTTCAAGTTCCCGTTTTAGATTGGCATTTCACTCGCACCCTCTCTTGAATGCAAAGGGCCCCTGGACTCTCTAAAGGGAATAAGCATGCACCGTGCTGGAATGATCACCAGGCAACTGTAGTACAGGGCAGTGGCCTGCTTGCTTTGGGAAAAGCTAAATATTAACCTTGAGGTTATGGGACTATTCAAAGTAGCAGTGCGTTAATTTTATACATATTTACATTTAAATATTGTCTTCCTGATGATGGCAGACACCTGTCCCCCTCAGAAATGGGGCATTCCCCAAGCCTCACCTATATAATTTCACACCAAAACAATGTGGAGGAGGAGGTGATGCACATGGGTAACATTTTAGCAAATTGTTCTCAGTCTTTTTTTTAAAGGAGCCTCAGTGTAAACGTGTTGAATTACAGATAATCAGCATTGTGGTTATTGATGCAGCTTCATAAAATAAAGTCACAGAATTTTTAAAAGTTAAATATTTTTCCACTCAGTGTATACATGAGATTCCTGGAATATGGAGGCCTCAATTGGTGGTTTCCTTTCTGAACAGCACTTTCATATTCTGACTAGATTTGCTCCCAAGTGTAAAACCAATGAATGAAATGTTACCCTCCTCCATCATTCTCTGTGTTCGGTGGGGGAAAGAGAAAAAAAAACTAGGGCAAATATGGAAACCACACATAGGCAAACTGAAATAAACTCTTTTTTAAATTGACTGAAGGGAGGAATGGGAAAGACCTCCTAGAAATGATAGAGCAAGGAATTCCAAAAACAAGGAGAAAAGGTTTGATTGCTGCAAAAAAAAAAAAAATGGGGGGAAATGGCCCAGACTAACTGACCCGGTCATGGCCCTGGACATGAGAACTTGGTGAGAGCCAAGAAGATAAGGGGAAAGGCTACAATCTTTACATTGCAGCTCACTGAAATAGTTTTCTGGGGGTTGGTGGGGGTGTGGAGGGGAGAAAGATGAGGTTAGTTTTTAATATAGGGATAGAGGGAAGACAAAATTTCAGGGCATTGATGTTTGGCCTCATTTTACAGACTTCATGAAAGTCTCGTAAGGTCCTCAACTTCTAACAATTTCTACATTTCTATTACATAGGAGCTATTTTATATCATGGAGATCTTCACCATGTGAGCAAATTATGCATAAGTTTCCCCTCTTCCTGAACATCCATCAGGGTCTAAACCCTAAGAAATCAAGCAGAAGAAGAGCACCCCCATTTAGAATTCTTTTTTTACATCAAATTTTTAGAGATGCAAAACATTCACTGTTGTTTTGGTCACTGAGGTATAGATTAGTGATTTTGGATTTCTTTGCATTTGACTTATTTCCTAAGTTGCTGAAGAAATAAGAGTAAATGAAAAGGTCAAGAGATATCTAAGTTATCTGTTTGGAAGTTTGCATTTTTATGCAAAGTAGAGATGATAAAGCAAGCAAAGAAACCTGCATATGGTGAGATCCCTTGTGATAATTATCCTTAATAGGATACATATGAGGTCAGAAAGTTGGCATCTGTCAACACCAAGTATACCAACTTGGCAACAGCCAGATAATGAGGGGGGATTCAGACTTTGGAGTTTCACACTGAGCAAGAAAAGAATCTTGAAGAGTATAGAATGATTAAATATGGGTCTAGTTTAAGATTGATATATTATGTCCGTTCTAGGGCTGGCCAGCTAAATGACCACAAGACAAGGACCTTTGAAAGAGACCAAGCTGGCTGTGCAAATTGTGATTTAAAGAAAGTAGTAGAAGGTTATTTGGCATTTTTGTTATTAGATAGATATCTTTTAAGACCTAAAATATTAAACAATAGTGAAAGCTGGGGAAGCAGGGAGAGGGGAGTGAGAAATGTACTTTCTTTTTTGCATAATTCCCTAAAGTTAAATACGTAAAATAAAAGAGTAAACATAATAACCAGAGACTGCCAGGTGGGTAAGCTACATTTTCTTTGTTAATTAGTGGGTTACTGTCATTTTTCCATTTTTCCTGACTTACTATTGAATAAACATTTCCTAGAGGTGACAAAACAGAAAAGAAAGTACAG